AGCCTTTTGTCTTTATTTTATGAGGGACGTCACGTTACCATGGTAGCAAAATTTCTGGATGACAGCAATAGGGAGTTTCTGCAACAGCGACAGCGAACTGCCAAAAAAACAATAGGGTTAGATTGGCAAAAAATCAACTTTGCACGTGCATCACGCTTTTCTTAACCTTATGAGGTGGGTGAGCACAACACAAAAAGTTTCTTTTTCTTTTTTCTAAACTTAGATACGGTTCTTGCGGATTTAGCCCAGAAAATTTCGCCTTTCTATTGTGCACGATAACGAGGACGAAGTCAAACTTGCTCTTTCTACCACGAAAAGTAATAATTTTTCACTTTCAACCTTTCTTTTTAGCTTCTCCACACTTCTATTGTTTTCCCTCCACCACCAAGCTCTTCGCAGAATATGGATGACTTTCTTCATTTCTGGTCTGGTATTCGCTTTTTTTAACCTGATTTGGACCTTTTTGGCCTGGATTTGGCCTGTCTGACCTTATTTATAAGCTGACTATTAATGTTGTTAATAGGAGTCACTTGTGTTCAGCCGTCTAACTGTTAACATGCAGAACATGTTTTGTAAGAAAGTTTGCAGAGATTGCCCGATTCCAGTTTGCAGTGCGAAGTACCTTGTCAGACTAATTGTAGCTAACCATCTCGCAGATGTTCATCAGTTGGATTATACACAGTACAGCGAAGACAGTATTTACAGAAGGCCAAACTTCAGCCTAAAGCTAAAGTCGTCGTTTATGAGAGAAGAGCGGATAAATCAAGAAAAAAATCATTACACTATTACTTGCAGTCCCCCTTAAGGGAAATCTTTACTGAGGATCCGACGACGGCGACGGCAACGAGAACGTCAAAAGAGCAATAGGTTTAATAACCAAAACAACAACTTTGCACTTGCATCACGCTTTTTTGTACATTTCTTTGTCGTCACTGCACGACTACGACTCATTTCACGTTGTCCAGAGAAAGTACACAAGCGACGACGAAATTTCTTTTCTCTTTCTTGGATATGGTTCTTAGGAATTCAACTTTAGGAGGGTTCACCTACCTTTGACAAAGATAGTGACTTGGAGTAATCGCGATGAAGATTGAAAGAACGCGAAGTTTTCGCTGCCATCGCCGTCCTCTTATTGAGATTAGGGACCTTACGAAACTACAACGGCGACGGCAACGGGAACGTCAAAAAAGCGCTAAATTTAATGAGCAAAACAACAACTCAGCACACGCATCACGCTTTTTGTACATTTCTTAGCCGTCCCTGCACTACAACGTGAAATCATCAAATTTTGAGTTGACTTTAGAACGGGAACCGCAAGGCGATAAATTTTACTTTCTCTAAACTCGGACACGGTCCCCGCTCTTCAGTTCCAANGAAAGAACGCGAAGTTTTCGCTGCCATCGCCGTCCTCCTATTGAGATTAGGGACCTTACGAAACTACAACGGCGACGGCAACGGGAACGTCAAAAAAGCGCTAAATTTAATGAGCAAAACAACAACTCAGCACACGCATCACGCTTTTTGTACATTTCTTAGCCGTCCCTGCACTACAACGTGAAATCATCAAATTTTGAGTTGACTTTAGAACGGGAACCGCAAGGCGATAAATTTTACTTTCTCTAAACTCGGACACGGTCCCCGCTCTTCAGTTCCAACCTAACTTTCCTCCTTTTAAGTAACTGGGTGACTTTGTATAAGGGCGAAAAAGTTTTAAAGGACGCGAAGTCTATTTTTCAGCAACGTTTTCATTGGCGTCGCCGTTGTCGAATCGCAAAAAAGAAGTAAAACAATACCTATACCACTACTGTGAACCATACCCACATCACAACACAAAAGCAAACCAACGTAACAATATATATAGTTTCCTCAACACCAAGAAATACCCAAGTTATAGTTAATAACTATATACTAAGGCCTCGCGCGTCCACGCAAATTCGGATAGTTTTGAAACCGCGTAATTTTTTTCACAAATCGGCCTTCCGTCCACTGAAAACCAGTGAATCCTCCTCTCACCTAAACCGCATCTTTTCAGAATTGCTTTCCATAGTGGTTTAAGGCCAAGGCCATGTCGACCTAAATTAAGTGGGTATCAGTAAAACTCGGGGTCGGAGTTGGGGTCTATCTTTTTTCAAAGCATGCTGTCTTAGGGTTACGGTTAGTGTCAACCCTAACCCTAAAACAGAATTCTTTTAAAAAAAGATAGACCTCGACCCCCGACCCGACTCCGCGTTTTACGGACAGATGGTCTCTTGGAACAGACGTCGAACTTAGGTCGCATCGAACCAATCAGCTGAATCAGACTAAAAGACAATTTTACAATGAAATTTTCTCCCGAACGAGGCTAAATACAGTTAAATTTCTCTACAACGGCCACCTTAGCGACAGAAGAAAGTGGCCGTTATGGAGGGGTGGCCGTTACTCCGGGGAGATAGGAGTGTAATATGACAATTCTTTTTAGGATAATACATGCTTATTGTGCCAAGTTCATGCTTACTACACACCATAATGGTAATCCAATCAAATGATATATGGAGATAAAATAGACAAAAAAACTCAAATAATTTTTTGAATCTAAATGTGAACATGCATGATAAAACGAACAAGGCTCGCAACCTTAACTGTAAGTATCGTAGACAATTTATGCTTACAGCTGGAGAAGAAATGGAGCACGATCAAAATATACCATGGAACACAATCAAAATACGATTGCCGCGAGTAATCAAACTTGAAGTTAGCAAATAAACAATTACTTGTGACAGCCACGTGTCAAACAAATCTGTCTCAAACAAAACTGTCAGGCTAACAAGTTTTCAAAGATCATAATGGTTGCAATGAATTACTTAGCATTAGGTTTGGCTCTTGTGAAGTTCACGGTTTGACGCCTAACTTTATTTTTATTTACACCCATCAAAACAAGCAAGAAAATCAAATCCATTCACGAAAGAGCTTGGATGAATTTTATTAATACAAACACTGCAATATAACATAATCCTCCAAGTACTACAAAAAAATCTCCAATTAATTGTGTAAGATCTCAGTTGTCTATGTATAACAGCACTTTCAAGGTTTTTACAATGTTTACTAATTGGGCCGTTTACATCAACAACTCAAGGAAAGGCTCATCTAACAGAAAACGTTTCATGCTTGTCATTTGCAAGCCTTACGGCCTACATTCAATGAAAGAACCATTTACCATGAGTTTGTGTCCTAAGAAAGTCATATAAACAGCCCTTCTTTTGATTTCATTTTTTTCTTTTGATATCCAAATATGGCACTCAGCGATCAAAGGAGGATGGTCTTGAGAGGAGGCTTGGTATCCCTGTACATGCATTGCCACTTTGGGTGTCCTATGTAGGTGCACCTACTTTTTAATCACTTCTGGTGATTTATAAGTGCACATAAAAAAATATGGGCCTCGGCGCAAGTTCACTTGCACATGCCTAAAGGCGTGCAGGAAATCCATCTTAATAAATAAATTATACACAGAGAAAGTGATATAATTAAACCCATCTGGACAAATCTGATAATTTTAAGCAAGACTATCAAATACACTGTCCTAACAATTTCCTAATTTTTATGGCAAGTACAAAACGCAGGTCACGGATCACAAGTCAGGTTAGAGTACAGCACACAGTGCTACGGTAAATAAACAAAACTAAAAGTATCTCCTAGCCCTAATAACAATCTGAAATAGAATTTTACTTGAAGGGGAAACTGAGTCTCTCAGTTATTTACCAGTACAGCAATGAACTGCACTTGTGACCTGTTTTTTGTACCTGCCAATTTTTTTTAAAATAATAATACTATATACATTAACTTCACCAGCAAACAAACAATAATTCCTAACATGAAAATGTTAAACGTATCAAGAGTCCAGTTATCTTAAAGTAAGCTGAAAAAAAAAAAAAAAAAAAAAAAGGA